AGATCATTTAGTGCACTCCAACAGCTGCATCTCGGGAAACACTCTGGAGGATGACCTGCAATCGGTGAACCTCACAAATAGTCACTCTGACATATGGCCCCGGACCCGGATTGGACAGCAAGCCGGGAAAATCATTGTCCATGATCGTCCGACAATTCTTTTTCTCTCTCCCGTCCACTTAACCATTGGAAGAGGTGGGCGCTGTACTTCTCGAAGATCGACGTAACATGTGGTTATCCCGGGGCGCCGGGGTGATGGGCAAGGAAATGAGCAGGAGATGTGAGTGGTGGCACGGCGACGCCTCGGCGGGATGACTCGGCAGGCGGAGCAGCTACTCTTCGCGATCTCGGTGGTCCGGTCGAGGAGGTGGACCAGTTCATTTTCGTTCCTCTTCAAGGTTTTATTGTCCAAGACCAAAGACGACAGGCTCCTAATAATGTCCCCTTCAAGTGTCGATCACAGTCTCGGAGGCGGGTGCTGCTGATCTTGAAGCAAAGGCACTCGAAGGTAACCAAGAAAACCGGTTTCGAGATCCATTGGACACTGGCCTGACTTGAAGCTGCGCAAGAATTCAACCGCCATGGTAGGCTGAACAACGATTCGGCAGAAGCAAGGGTCATCTGACAGGAGGTGTGGAGTATGTGTCTGTCTGAAGGGGCATGGCTCTTGGTGAAGACGGCAGCGTGATGGAAAAGATGTGATGTTGCTGGTGTGTTCCCAGCAATCGACCTTTTCATTCGCATCCTGTCAATGAGTATGTACCCTCGGATCATCCACAAATGCCAGTGTGAGCGCCTAGGCACCTGACCAACATGTTAATGGGTGAATGATCGTGGGCAACCAACATTTCTTGATCGTCAGTGAGGTGAGGCGCGGGAGGGAGAGTGCTGGCGCTTGGGCAGCTACTCTGTGGTGTTCCGGAGGAATGGCCGTGGTCATGGTGATCCGTCAAGCAGTGGCCGCGTGGTCAGCGTGTTGCGGTGAGAGGGGGGAAAGGCATAAGCGGCATCCAGTCAGAAAATTGGAGTGAGGGCGATCACAACCCATCGTCAACGCAACACGCTTCGGAGTCGGAGGCGTTGAGACACGACACTACGAGACGACGGCGAATAGGGAAGGGAGCCGTTGTCGTGTTTCGGGTCCTTGTTGAGCAACTGACAAGTCAGCAAAACTGACAGAGCGTCAATGAGTTGAATGACAGTGTTGGATCGACGAGGGCGTTCACGGTAGGCAGCTCCAGAGGAAGGGGGAAAACGGAACATGTGCGTGACGAGCATTATGCACACTGTTATGAAGGGATGCAAGGAGGATGTCCATGACACCTTCCAGTGCAGGTAGGCAAACATCGCAGCGCCAATAGCTCCTGCAGCTTTTGCAGCTCTTCCAGCTCCTGCAGCTCATCAGCTTCCAGCACAGTCCTCGCACAGTTGACCCGTTGTCAAACGGCCTTTCCTTCCAGGGCTGACGAGCCACAACCACAACGCACGGCTCAAATACCAGTGGCTAACGGTGGAACTCGGCAGACGATCAATGACATCACGTAGTACCCCACCTTCCGTTTTGCGGGCTTCGGTGTGTCAGGTTCAGTTCCCCCCCAGACAAATTCGCACCCGCTCATTTCCCCTTCAGTTGCGACTCCCTGAGTAGGTGCCAGCTTCGTCAGAGACCTTCAGAAACGGGAGACTGTCGGAGGGAAAGAGGCAGGTATCGACAAAGCATGAACAGAAGGGGCAGAGAAAACTGTCCGGCACATGCGGGTATCCGTGGGGACTCTGTATCTGCTCGAATTCTCCGTATCGAGCCTCCCCACTCCTTGTGTACGTATGAGTGTGGCAGTGACCGTGAATACGACTTTGCATGCGGAATCGGGCAGGGTCCTCGAGAATTCAGTTGCTTCAGGAAAGGAAAAGAGGCTAAAATGGCATGAACACGATGGCAAGTGTGGCGCGACTTGGGAATTCTTGGTACACGCTCGTCGGCTGAATCCTGCCGTCGGTGGTCGCAATTGCAACTCTATCAGTCGCTACGTGCGTGTGTCGTGCCCAGCAGGAGACCCGCCAGCCAGGGCTCGGCATAATGGGGACCACCTGCCACGCGCTGTTGGCTGCTCGCTTCAACCAATCGACAGGAACGCCCATGTCGTCACTGCGTTGCCGATCACCAAGGCTGCCTCGGCGGGGGGAGGGAGAGCGTCCTTCCCTGTCACTTTCATCCCCTGGTTCAGAGGAGTGAAGGAAGGAGTGCCCCATTCGTCTCCTCTGGCAACCTTACTCGCCAACCTTGCAAGTGCCCCTCGCCGTTTGATTCAGCACCTGGAGTACGTACCGACGCGGTGGACATTGCCAAGCTGCCGGTTCTCCAATCACGCGGCCTTCGGACTTGGGAGCATTGGTCAGTTTTTCTTGCTGTCTCTGATGCTTGATGCTGATGATTCGTTCGCCTGCAAGGAATGGAGGTGCCGCGCCGCGCCAGATGAAGCTGCTGCCAATTGTCCTCTTTCAGTCAAACGTTTAAGTTTGCGCGGTCGTCTGTTGTTTGCTCGGCTCAGCTCTTGGCAGGGTTTTCGCTGGTGTTGACCGCCGGACTGACGGCCCCTGACTGTTGATGTAATTTCATCTAGGTACCTGGGTATCTTAGGTACCTAGTGCTCATGTGCCCGTGCCCGGACGAGCTGAGAGGGGACTGCGAGCCACGACAGGACAAGTGCAAGCGCAGGCGTCGTCTGCAGGCCGCATCGACTGCATCAAACTTGTGCATGTGCCGCCTACAGGAACGTGTGAGCCAAGGGGTCCCTTGAGCCAATGGTGCAGGTTCGGCGCCGAATTCCCTCGTTGGGCCATGTGCCATATCATATGCCTCCTCTCTGCTGACAAGCTTGCGCTTTTGCGCGCGCGCGCCGCCCCCCCCTCACACCGAGTGAGAGGCAATTGCTGGGACCACGAGACCACTAAAATGCTTGAAAAAAAAAAAAACCTACTGTACCCTGCGCGGCCCTGGCGAGTCCGATATTGAGGCAAACGGCACACGCAAGCTAGGACTTTGCCTCTTCCCGAAAGACGACACAGCGGGGTCCCACGACGAACACAAAATGGCATCGGTTACTGAGAAACATCGTGTCGGCTCCACAGAGAGGCAATGGACCTCGCCTCCTGCTCCGCACTTAGCAGGACCTTTAGTTGCGCTGCTTGCCCAAGCTTGCCCATCCCATTTTCTTGTCTTGTTTCTTGTCCCGTCTCCCGAGTTCCAAGACGGGGTCCCCTCCCTCTCTGCCAAGCGTTGCTTCAAAGTTGAGCACGAGAACCGACGATCGATAGCCGCACTGCCGCTGAGAAGAGCAGATCGCTACTCCGAACCGCTGCTCGCTGTAATGCCATACGTCCGTCGGCGCTGATCACCGCCATGATGTTGGGTGGTCCTGCTCCTCCGTGTCTGGTGCGTGTTTGGCCTCTGCCTTGAGAGCACCGGGCTACCTGCTACTCTTGCTACTGCACTGTACACCGGTCATCCGGTATCTACCAATCCCCACCCGCCCACTTGCCCACAGGGTGGAGACGTCGCTCTCTTGGCCCTCATTTGGTGGCAAGGGGCGTCACCATCACCTACTTCGGCCCTTGCCATCTCAATCGTGCCTGCTGGTGATACATACAGTCTTGTTTGGACGGATTCGCACCAGCCAGCCACAGACAGGTCTCCGCACTATGTTGCTGTTGGCCACCCCTACCCCTTCTAAAGCCTTAACAAGTCAACACCGGCTCTTTCCAGAGGATCCTCCGTCCATCGTTTCTCGTCAGCATCGTCGTGCTTGTTCATGCCCTGCTTGTTCCTTGGGACCCATTTTGCCTGCTTTGCCGCCCTTCCCTCCTGTCTCTCACTTTTTCAAGCTCCGTCCAGGCAGTTCATGATCAGTCACCTGCTTGCGTGCGTCGATACCCTACCTTAGCTGGTGCCCAATACTGGGCTCCGCAGGGTCTGCTTGTTTCGTCCGGTCTCCTTGTTTCCTGATCATCCATCAACTTTCCCCCCCTTGCTTTGCTCTCTTGCGGGCTTTTGGACCCTTAAATTTTTGGGGCTTACCTACCCGCTGCCGCTACTCCCTCTTCCCAACGCGGAAACCCCCCCCCCCCCCAAAGAGACCCACCTGCCTGTCTGTCTGTCCACCTAGTTGCCCGCCCGCCCAACTTGCCTTCCTCCACTCCACCCCTCTCTTCCCACCCAGCCTTTCCTGTCTTGACCTGACCGTCCTGCCACCGAATCCCTCCCACACAGGCACTACGACGAAAGACCGTCTCCACCCCCATCCCATCTCGTCGGACGGGGACCCTGGCATCCTGACATCCTGGCTTCTGGCACCCCGGCACCCTGGCCTCTCTGCCTCTGCTGCTGCTGCTCCTGCTGCTCCTGCTGCTCCTGCTGCTCCTGCTGCTGTGCACACCACCCTCCTCTGCCTTTTCCCACCTTCGTCACCCGAGTTCTTCTCCCCCCTTCCCCGTGTCGAGTCGTGTCGAGTCACCGTCACTCTCTTCTCGTTCCGACTTCTTTCCAGTCGCTCAAATCGGTGGCAAACCCATCTTGACGCAACTTTGGCCTCGCACCGCCCACCGATCGAAATTCCAACAGTATACGCGCAGACGCCCCTGATTTCCCCGTCACTTCGACCCTGCCTGCGTCCTGCGCCTACCTAACCTACCTAACCTTACCTCCGTCCGCTACCCACCCACCAACCACTCACAACACCAACCTCATAAGCCCGCTACCACACCCACGATACCACCCACGTTACCACCCACACTCCATACTTTCGCCAACGCAAAACCTCGACCCGGCACCACGGCAACCCTTCGTACACCTCTACTACCTGCCATACACGTATTCCAGAAGAACCCACCCTTCGTCACATCCAAGGCTCTATCAATCACCCTTCGTCGCTCTGTCGAACCACGACCTTCTCTACCCTTTCCACATTCCGCCTCCAGAGAAGCACTGCTGCCGTCTTGAGCATCATGGACCCCATGGACGTGGATCAGCAGCACGGCGACAACGGTGAGAGTATGATCCACCCTTCCCGCATCGAGCGCTCCTCGTCGAGCTCCTCGTCTTCGTCGTCTGTCGACAATGATCATGAGGGACACCACATTCATGCTCCGAGACCAGTCCGCCCACGCCTCCCCAGTCGACAGTCCAGCGGTCCCCTCGTGGTCCCCCGCGACAGCTCCGCCGTCGGTCCCATCGAACAGTCCTTTGGTCCCGACGATGTGCGCGCAATGAGCCCGAGAAGAACGAGCGAGGACATCGAGGCCCTCGGAAGGGAAGCCAGAGAGGAACTCAAGAGGTAGGCCATACCCTCCACACCAATGTACCATGGTACACATGGAAAGCCTCAAACGAATTGCAATGTTGACCCTTCACCCCTTTCGACAGGCATGCCAAGGCACTACAGGAATCCCTCCTCACCATCTTCCACCGCATCGAGGCCGTACGAGAGGAGCACGACAAGCTGGACAACAATAATAAGTTCCTTCAGAAGTACATCGGTGATCTCATGACCACTGGCAAGATCACCGCTACAGGTACCAAGGGCAAGAAATAAGAACAGCCCACCAGCACCGACGCAAATACTTGACGGCTTGGCGCGAGACTCCGCATCCATCGCCCCTGGGGTAACAATAGTACCCACGTCGCCATTGCAATCTCTCTGCAGACTGCAGTGTCCGACGGACAACGATTCTGCGTATGCGCACATTATCGTTGCCGACATGCACGGCTCGCACGAGCCTCGCTCGCACTGTCGCAGTCTTCACTGTGAAGCCTCGAAGATACTTTGACCTGATCTTTGAGGCCGACCCTATTATTCATATTGCATTTACAAACCCAGCCTCTGCTGTGAGGCATGATACCCCAGATGGCCCGAGTTAGCCATTCGCGACTTTACCTCAACCCCCGCGCCATTCACCACCCACGGTCTCCTCATCATTCGACCGCGTCGGACTGCATCTTTGACGACGCACGCTGGCGCGGCCGAAATAAGGGGGGAAAACTCCCACCAACAGCATCGGCGCATTACCTTGCATGTACACTAACGATATCATTACTGGGGTCCAGTATTGATCGGCTGGGCACCAGCCGGTTCAGGGCATCATCGGGCGTTACTCGGAAGGGCATTGGGTTTACGGTCTGATCATTCAGGCTCATGTACGCAGGACATCTTGAGGCGATGATCTCTAGGCTTGCGAGCCCGGCGCGGAATTACGGGGAGTGGGGGAAACTCCCTGCAAATCCAAAGTTTTGATTTTCAACACACCTTGACTTGACCGACGGCACGAGCGACGGGAGGTTGTGAATTCGGCATGATTAGGCGCCAGACGCTCTGGCGCGGCCAGCGTCCGAATTCCGGGACATAAGCTAGTGTTAGCCGTGACTGGCCCACGCTTGACATGTCTTCCATTTTGCGTCTCGCATCACCCAAAGACAGAGCTGCGACGCGACACGCTATCCCTTACTTCTTGCACCCGTGAAGGCCCTCCATGGCACCGGCGTACTCGACTCACACTCGACTGCTGGGGGCGGAACAAGACTGTCTCAGCCTCACGTCGCGCGCAGCCCCCTCTGATTTGAAAGTCTCCCCCTCTTCTTTCGAAGGTTCCAAGTTTTTTTTCCCTTTCTCTGTCGCTCTTTCAGCTGCCGTCTGTCCAGCTCGTCGGTGCCGAATCATTCATTGTCTGATTCATGGAGTCAGGTCGACGGGAGGGAGGGTGACTCGCCCCTCCTGCCTAGGTGCTGTGGCCAGGTGAGACGCCACGCGGCGATGGCCGCTAACGTACTGTATCGATCCATCCCATCCATCCATCCATCCATCCATCCCACGGAATCTTCCTTTAGGTGCCGAGTCACGTGGCAACCGACCAGAACGAATCCGGCGGGCTTGGGTGTTTGCTGACCTGCCTTCCTTTGGTCGGAATGGGGCGCTGCCGTCTGTTAGCTTTGCATGGGAGAGTCATGGCGCCGATGCGTCGCTCGCTCGTATGGAAGGTTTGCCGGCGGTGGAAGGGTCGGGAGAAGAAGCTTGCTTGGTGGGGGGAGGCTTTTTTCTTCCCTGCTGGATCGGGGGCTGCGATATCTCGAGGCGGGGGGGGCGTATGGCCAGGGGCATCGAACCGGAGAGGGCGGATCGCGTTTATTGGGTTGGGTGTTTTGTTCTCTGGGGGTTCTACGTGAGGATGGCGCACGAAGGCTAGATTAAGGTGATGCTTATATTGTCTTCAAACGCAATGTCAGGACGACTCATTGCGCGCGCCACTGCTTGACGCGGTTGGGTTGTACTAGCTGTGAACCGAGTCTATGCTTCTCATACGATGAAATAGCGGTCCTCTTACCGCGCCGTTGACTTGGGACACTTCCTGAAGAGATTCATGATGGGTGTGCAGGTGCCTCAGGGCCAGGCGATTGTTCGTGTTGGTCCGCGGATCGTGCTCGGCGTCAGCGTGATGGGTCCTCCGCCTACGGGCGGCGGTGCCGGTGTCGTGACTTCGGGGGGTGGTTTCGTGGTGGTTGTCGTGCTCGTCGTCGTCGTGCGTGGCTTCAAGGTGGTCGTCGCCTGCGTCTTCGAAGTAGACGTTGTTGTCGACGACGTCTTGGGCGTCGTCTTAGACGATGTGGCGGGCTTTGTCGTGGCGGGCTTGGTTGTGGTAAAGAAGGCGGTCGAGGTTGTCCGCGTCGGCGTCGAGACCTTGGACGTCGAGCTGGTCTTGGACGTCGTCGTCACTGTGACAGCGGTCGTCTTGGTCGGACGGCTGGTTCCCCCATTTCCGGGGTAGAGAGGGTGGTCGGGGGGCAGGTGCTCGTAGGCTACACATTGGGAGTACCAAGGGCTGCCAATGCGTTAGCAAGGTAACGGGAACCGGGTCGCGATGGCTTTGATAGTTCTTCCGGGAGAGGGGAGCACTACTTTCCGTCGTTGTAGCATGTCGAGCCAGGGGCACAAGCTGTTGCATATTCCCAATTTGCGCCGCCGCCTTGAATGCGTAGAGTCAGCATCGTAGTTTTGTATGGTCTGCGTGTCTGGTCATCATTTACACTGCCCGTAGAGGCTCTGAGTTGCGCCGCGTGTGGGTTGAGGCGAGACCTGCCCAAGGGTACCATGAGCGAGGAGGAAGACGGCTGGCAGCATGTGAGCGAGCATCGTGGAATAACTTAGCACCTCAATAATTAATGCTACATGTGACTTGAAGTAGGATAAAGCGAAGCTTATATGCACACTGGACTGGCAATACTATAATCCATCTCCTTCTGGACCGGAAGCCCTCTCGGACTTGACTTGTTTTAGTCAACGTGATCCGTCGCCAGAGGATGTACTCACTTACACCAAGGACATGCATGTCACATGCAACGCAACATTGAGTGGCATTGGAGCGGGTTGCTACAGTGAAAGCGTGAGGCGCAGTGCTGGTGAATAGAAACTTGCGCTGGAGGTCGTACGCCATACAAAGCTCAGGCGAGGCACAAAATTTGGCTGGGTCGACGACGTTGTCTGGTTATACGTGACAGCATACGACATTATCTGCAATGTCACGGCGGCGTTCCGTCAACCGAAATCCCGCCAACTCTGGGTCCGGCCCGGCGGTTAAAAGAGGAGGGCTATTGACGTTCTCAATAGAAAACAGTAGAAAATAAAATTCCGCTAAAGCAACGTAAGGTCTCCGCGCAGTCGCCTTGGCGAACGATAATCTGAAAGGTGCTCTTCCTTTGGTCACTCGTGATATTCTGGTGTCCTTTTCCGCTTGGCAACCTTAACAACCTTGAGAGGCTTGGTCGGCCCAGTTATTGCGGCTTTTCGAGTCCTGCGAAGCTGGTTTGCCTGTCTCCGAGGGGTATTCCACTCCTTCATGGCTCTGGCTTTTATCAGTATAACTAAGTGTCAGAATCCGGACTCATTGGAACTTGCCCATTCGGTGCGGGCTTGCAAAGCCAATTTTCAATCCTCTCCTCCAGCTCATCGTCAAAAGCAACGTCCTGCGGGCCACGCACTTGAGGTATGCGATAGCTTAGAAAGAATGGTAGGTTTTCGACCAGAAGACGCGATGGTGGCTGTGGCTCATCGTAGGCATCGAGAGGGAAATAATTTAGTAGGGTGCTGAGGCGAAAAGCGTCCTGGATGAGGTTGAGGTTTCCCGTGGCCTCCGCCTTGCAAGTTTTACCCAATGCTCCAAAGACAGATGCCCAGAAGTGACGCTCAGCCATATCAAACTCTCTCACAACGTCAACGCGGTAACGACCCTCGTCATCTTTCTAGATGTGACGTGAGAGGGCAAGGAAATTGGCGAGTCCCATACCCAGAGGCAAGAAGACGCCGGCGGGTGTACTGACGCGTTTCGCATCCCAGTGGAGCAAGTCCGTCACCGCGAAATCCGGGTTGACAACAATGGTCTCTCCTGTGAGAAGCGGGTGAGCGAAGTACAGAGGGAGCTTGTGGAAGTCGCCGACGTTGCGGCTGAGGTTGGCGACGACGCTGCGCCAAGGTGTGACACGTGGGTTTGGACTGCTGATGAACTTTTCAACCCAGCGCGCAATGTCATGCTGCACTAGGCGGCGGTCCTTTCTGCGCCCTCTCATCTGTGTCATGAGGGCTTTTCCTAGCGAGGAGTAGAAGACGTCGAAGGGATACGTCTTGAAGCGCATCCCTGACAGACGTTCTTGCAGGGAAATACCTAACGCCTTATGAGAAGGTCTCGGAGCCCGAGGTGGAGGTTTTACTGGGAGATACCGCTCTTCGTCGGGCTCGACCTCATTTGGTGGGGTTTCCATGGCTGTCTTTAAGCTCCTGGAGTGCAGAGTGTATTACCGTGGCGCTATGCGTTTTGGAAGTAGTGATGCCTGAAGATGTACTTAGCCTAAGGAGCTTGTTGGAGGAAGTTAGAGTCTTTGCACTTTCAGGCGAAAGAACACAAATCCTGAATCGAGTCTGCAAAGCGACTTCGTTATGATTATCATGTCTCTTGCACCTTCTTTGGCATCAGAGCCAGCCGATGAAGTTGCCGGGAAAAGTAATTGTGATCCCATGTAAGAGTAGGGAAGGTGCACAAGTTGCGTCACAGTTGCCAGGTATGTTGCGCGGACAAGGATGTAGATCAACGCACAGTGTCCAATAAGACCCATGAAGAAATCCTTGATAGCAAGAAACTACCACTGTCGGGCAATCACGTCTTCTTGTAGCCTGTCTGTAATAATATTGAGTACGGTATTGAGGATAAAAAGCAGGCACCTGCCCCATATGACGGATGCAAAATCAACAATGAGTAATCTTTTATCAGTCCAAGTCATCTCGATTGTACCGCAACAACACTTCTGTTTCGTGGCCACGATATTTGCCTTAGGTAAGGGATTCAAGCTGCCATGTTTTGTTGACAGCAGGACACTGGTCTGGCCAGTTCCATCATCAGGCCCAGAATGCCGCCTTACAGCCATGTGGACCTACTTTCCCTGACAACCCCCTCCACTCACCCAGAGCAGGAGCACTGCAATTTGAGCAGGAGCTCTACAACAAGTGCAATGCAAGGTGGGCAGGCACGTCCACAGAACGGGGCCCCTAAGGCAGGTGCGTCGCGCCTAAGCAGGGTCGCTGGCAGGCGCTTCCGTCCGTGTCTTGGCAGCCTATAGGGACGCGTCATCTCCTCAAGAGCGCTGTTAGTCATCGCTTGTGTCCCCCAGCCCGGGTGCAGAAACCTATCAGTAGCCCACTGCCCGTTTTTGGGTGTGAGAAACCCCCGTCTGTCCATTTCCCACTCAGAAACAACGACGGCTGCTCAAAACCCACGACGGCCATAGGAAATATAAATCACCGCATTTCTCGGGCCGTCCCTTAACCACTCGTCATGTCGTCTTCCGCCTCGAACAATGTCCTCATCCTGGATGGAGGCCTGGGTACCTCCCTGGGCGACAAGTACGGCGTGCGCTTCGACAAGTCAACCCCTCTGTGGTCGTCTCACATGCTCGTGAGCGACCAAGACACCCTCCTCGCTTGCCAAAAGGACTTCGGTGATGTACCGGTCGACATCATCCTGACGGCAACCTATCAATTTTCTATCCATGGCTTCGCCAACACTCGCACGGCTCAGTTTCCCGACGGCATCGACAGGACGAAGATCGCGTCATATGCCCGCGACGCCATCGCCATTGCTCACAGCGCCGGCAAGGCAAACGGAGGGCAGGTCGCTTTGAGTGTTGGACCCTATGGCGCTTGCATGATTCCTGGCCAGGAGTACACTGGAAAATATGACCTCGAGCACGACACGCCTGAAGACTTGGCCGCCTGGCATTTGGAGCGTTTCCGTATCTTCGAGGAGGCCGGCGGGTTCTCATCGCCCGTCTCATACATTGCCGTCGAGACGATGCCGAGATTGGACGAGATTGTGGCCGCGAGGAAGGCCCTAGACGACCTGGGAGCGAAGGCCGCCAACACGCCCTTTTGGATCGCCTGTGTCTTCCCAGGCGAGGAAATGGCCCTGCCTGATGGGGCCAGCATCAGCTCCGCTGTCGACGCCATGTTGAGTCCAGCTGTGGCACGGTCCCAACCCTGGGGCATCGGCATCAACTGCACCAAAATCTGGAAGCTCAAGGAGCTTATCGCCCGTTTCGAAGCGGCCGTTGCCGACCAGGTCCAAGCGGGTCACGTCAATGAGGCACCGGCCCTGGTTCTGTACCCCGACGGTACTGACGGCGAGGTGTACAACACAACGACGCAGACCTGGGAGCTACCAGCAGGCGGCAAGGTACAAGGTGCCCCATGGGAGGAACAGCTTGCCGAGATAGTGCGCGACGCCAACACTCGAGGAAAGTGGAAGCAGATTGTCGTGGGAGGATGCTGCAAGGCCAGCCATGCCCACCTCGCAAGGCTCCGCGATTGCGTTTTGAACAACAATGAGCAAGCAAAGAACGAGTGATCTTTTCAACGCGCTTCTTACATATCATTTCATACCGATGGAATCGAACCCAACAAGAACCTCCAATGCGCCGGCCCTCCCGAGCCGAGTTCTCGGCAGCTTAACAAACCCCAGTGCCCCAAAGAAACCAGTTCGCCATTCCGAATGCCCGCTCGCCCACCAATGCCAGTCCGCCCAATGCACCATGCCCAGAAAAAGTATGTACCAACCCCCCGTACTCGGAGGATTTCGATTCGTGTAACCATTCCCATCCCAAAACCATCTCACCAATGGCCGATCATCGGCGGCCATGATACGTCTGTCTTTATGCCGCCTTTTCCCCCTCAGCACCCTGCCCCACCCGCTAGCCCCAGGTCTTCCTCTTTTTGGACATTGTGGCTTTCCAGTCGTCAATGGTTTTCTGCTGTTTTAGTGTCTCCTCAGGCGTTTTGCCCTTGATGGGTCGTGTCGGAATCATGTCGAGCAGTTCGTCAAGATCGAAAAGCCGCCTCGTCTCACCGCCGACGCGAATATCGATGCTTCCGACCCGGTGGAAGACTGGTGCACCGTAATCCTCGTGCCGAGACAGCAGGCTGCTCAATTTGCCAGCAATGAACATGGCGAGCTTCTCCGCGGGCATTGTGTGCTCCAGACCTTCTGGTGGGATCGGCCAACGATGACTTGCCATTCGCGAGGCGACGAAACGCTCGAGGCGCGACCCCTGAGCCGAGCCAGAAGGAAACCCAAGGTTGTCGTCCTTGGTCCCAGGTGGCGGCGGCAGAATATCGAGAATAAGCGTCTTCACCGAAAAAGAGTTCTTGGTAGCAACGAGACTCTCGAAAGCCGTGGGACCATGCAGAAGATAATCCTTCATCAGGGCGAAAAAATTCCAAACAATCATGGCGGGTCCGCCGTCGCCACCAAGAAACTGTCGAGGATTGCGCCAGTCTTCGTTGACATCTGCGGGAGGATCGAAGATACGAAACTGGACGTAGATGCTGTCGGCGTGATGGGCCAAGCGCGGGACAGAGAGCCAAGTCGGCCACAGTCCACACTCCTTGACGTACATGACGTCGAGCCGATAGTGCGTCTTCGTCCGGGCAATCACCGCTGCTGCCTCGGCGTGCAACTGCCGGTTAACCAGCATTATGGCCGGCGTCTCCTGAGCGGCGGCCAAGAAGCTTTTATCCTTCACCCATATGTCGTGGCCATCAGAGCAACGCATGTCGTCGCGGTACTTGCGACGCTTTCGGTCCTGACTGGCGGACGGGTCCACGGGCGCCTCCCGCTCGGGCAGTCGGAGGACCTCCTCAAGGATGAGATCGCGCAACTCGGGGGCGATGCTCAGCAGGCCGGCCATGACTCGACGAGGCGGTTTGGGCAGGGCGGGAAGAGATGTTTGGGTAGAGAGGGCGAGCTCGGCAGGTTTCGTTCTCGCTTGGTGCTGCATTTGTGGTTGTGGTTGCGGCTGCGTATGCGTCTGCATCTGCATCTGTATTGGCGGCGGTTGGGCTTGTGCTTTGGGGTTGATGGGGCCGACTTTGTAGGTGCGAGAGTGCGCCGTCGCTGACTGCTGGGGCAATGGACAGTGAGGTTGGCCAAAGATTGATTGATGCGCTGGAGCAGCGGCCGCGACAGAGCAGGTGGACATGTCGGGACCGGCACGGTAGTGCTATGCCGGCACGAAGGCTGATCCGAAGGGGGCTTGATGGCCGCAGACACGCAGCCAGCCAACACGGATTCGTTGCGAAGCAGGGAAGACGAAAAAAGCAGGCCCAGTATCGGAAACCAGGAGACGTGCGAACCAGATGGATGGGCCAGCAGCGACAAGGACAGGCAGGGCAGCACACGAGTGGACAGGGCAATCCACTATGCCTACGAACCAAAGCGCGCGCCCACAACAGTAGCAAGAACAGTAGTAGTATCGGCAGCAGCAATAGAATCGGTGACGGGGGCGGCGGCGGCGGCAACAGGTGCCCAACTAGGAGAGCAGCGACAGAGGCGACAGGACAGATAAAAAGCGCGAGTTGTGGCTGCCTATGAAGGGGATGGGTGGGCGTTCCATGGTCTCCATGTGAAGAGCAAGGGCCCTTTGGGGGCGCAGCAGCTACCGACCGACTCGGAGACCCAGCTTTGAGCGGCCACTCATCATTCAATCGAGAGGGGGCACAAGCCAGCCAGTCCAGTCCAGTTCAGTCCAGGTCCCGGGGCTACTCGTCTTGGTGTGTCGACGTCATGAGTAGGTCGTGAGCTGGAACCGGAAACCAAGTGCGGCAACAAAGATCGAGGGTGTGCGTGGACGTGTGCGTGGGCGCGCGAGAACGGGCACGTTCGCCGAAGCCATCGGTAGCGGATCAAGCGAGCGAGTGACTGAGCGAGTCGTTCAGATCGAGGCGAGTCGGATTGTTGCCATTTTTGGCCTTGGGCGACAAAGGGCAGATGACGGCCAGCCGCTACGGAATTTTGACTTTTAGGAGTAGCCGAGTGACAGGGACAAGTGTTTCGCGCGCCCATGACCCTCCACCCACCGACTCCAAACTCGTTGTGAAATGGCTCACCCACCTGTGGACTTTGGAGGACAGACAAACCTCAGACGTGGGACGGGGCGCATGGGACGTGCAACCTAGGATGGGGACCTAGGATGGGGAGCAGCAGCCAGGCACTGCCTGCATGTTGCATAGGCATGGCCTCTGCGTTCGGCAACGGTGAACCCCGGCTCGCTCTCGTCTCTCGTCTTTCGTCTCTCGTCCTCCGTCGCTCACAGGGGGCTGCCAGGCTACTAGTGCCTAAGTCGCCGACCTGGCTGCAGCAGCAACGGCGATGGTCCAGCGACGAGGGAGGGGGTGGAGGGCACACAAACTGCAGGGCTGCATTGTCTGTCAAATTTCATACACCCTATTCAGTTGCCTGCCCCTTGATCCAACGATTCGGGGGGCCGGCTGTGGAAGACCCTACCCTGGAGATCGGATTTTGCCAAGGAGGCCGCCCACGACGTTAGGTCCTACTGGGTGGTGGAGGACGGGAAGAGGCTGCGGGAAGGTCGTGCCAAGAGGGGGTTTAGAGAGATCGGCGCATCGACCCCGGCGCCGCACATCGAGGTCCGGTGTTTATTTGACGACGACAGCCACGACGGCAATGGGCACTTAAGAGATGTGTATCATGAGGAAAACAGGACGAGGTTTATGAGCCATTCTCTCCCGGTACGAGGGTGGCGGGACACGTCGCAATACTGACTAGAGTCTGCTCTGTTGATTGCGACGAGGGACGAGACCCAGCCGTTTGCTTGGGGCCAAGCGGTCAGTAGCTGTTTGCGGAAGCCCTAAAAGCCGTCCTCGTGGGCCGACTTCGATGCCCAGGCGGTCAGACCGACTGCCGTAGTTACGTTGAATGCTGGAGGAGGAGAAGAGGGGGAGAAGGGGGAATCGTTGACGAACCAAGATGGGGAATGCACAGCAAAGTGGTATTTCCCATCCCGAGGCTTTCCATGGCTTTTGATTTACTTTTCGGCTCAGGCATGCGGCGTCATCAGCCTTCCATCCCATCCATGTCCACCACATGCTCCTATGCGCCCTCATCTCGCTCGCTGGGTCTCCCCTCTCCTCCGTGCCGAGTTACTCTGGTCCTGTCTTCCGGCCTCTGCGTTCAATCAATACTACGCTCCGTCATTTTCTCCAGTTACTTCAGGCGTGTTACGAGATGTGAACCCCCGCTCTCACATCATCGAGACATTTTAACGCCCGCTCGCTAGCTCCAAAGCTCGTGGGCTCATCGCTCACCGACGAGTGAGGAAGATTCCGTTACCTCAACATCCAATCCTCTTTTCGCTATTCAGTCTAGTCGACCCCCACTGACCACAGGACGCTCCGCCTTTTTACCCCCCTTCCTCCCGCGACCTGCCTGCATGCTCCATCGTGGCAGTGCCCGTCGGATGCACCAAAAGGTCAAGGGGCCCAGGGGCAAAGTAAAACAAAGACAAGGGCAGAGGGAGAGCGAGAAGAGGAGCCAAGCACAAGCCAAGCCAAGGGGGGACCCGTGCTGTGCAGCTCGAGCTACCTTAGCTAGGTATCTGTCGGTCTCGTGGATCCCTGGCCAAGACTTGCGTTCCTTGTCACTAACTTGTTCCCCGGGAGCCAACTTGCGCTAGGAAAATACTTGGCATCTCGAGATATAGGACTTGGACCTCACGTCCTCTTCAATTTTCACGATGCTGGCGGTTATGAGCGATTTTCCTTTTTCAGTATGTCATGGGCCATGCCTGCCTCTGCCTCTGCCTTGCTGTCGCTCTGACTTGTCTCTATTGCGCTGAGCTGCTTGCTGCATTTCGGTCAATCCCCGACAGCGCCACGTTGACTGAGATTGCATCCATCCAGATCCACGCGCGCCAGTCCCCGTTTCCTTGCCATACCTCGCCTTGCCTTGCCTTGTCGTGCCGTAGCTCACATGCCCCATCTCCTATCCGACGACTCGTCTGCTCTCGGTCACAGTACGCGCGAGCCCTGGCGCCAACGGCCAGCAGAGGTAGCATGGCCACAGCTTTTTTGCTGTCCATAGGGCACGAGCCTGAGCGGGGAAAGACTTCGAGAGGCCTGTTGTTTACTATGAACGAACAAAGCAATTTCGCACGTTCTGCCTCTCTCTCTCTCTTTTGAGGTCCGCGGGGGACCATCTGGGTCCTTACCCGGGTCGCCAACCACCGCAGGGCGCCCGCATCCCCCATCCAGCATCGCCTCAGTGCTAACCGTGATGAGTCTCGCGGGATGTGAGAGATGAGGGAGGATTTGCATCAGAATGCCCTCAACTGGGTCAGCAGCATTTTCCCTGATGGAGTATCGTCTCCTCGTCTCGTAATGTAGCCGGAAGGCAGACCAGCCTGGATGCCTGGCTTCTGTCGTTCTGCCGCTTTTGCCAGTTGGCCCTCCTTTTTCTGGTGGGCGAGTGTAGATGTGTGCTGCTATGTATAAAGGGGCTACTAAGAACTGGTGATGGAGGCATGTCCGGCAACCTCCATCGGCGTTCTCTGTCTCTCCTCTCTTCTCCCTCTTTCTATTCTCTCTATTCTCTCACCCCGTCCGCTTTCAAGATCCTTCGTAAAAAAATACTTGTGATCATTGTCCCCCTTCCTTATGGACCCGTCTCAGAACAAATTTCCTGCCCCAGAACGCATCCGTTGGGATGACGATGAGGAAGCCGGCAAGAAGGCTCGCCCGGCCCTGCGTCGTGGTCTGTCTACCGATTCTCTCGCCGTACACTCCATCCGATCGAGGCGTAACTCGATCGATGCTGCGGCCGCTCTCCCCGTGCAGTATCGTACTGTCTCCATCGACATTGACGATTACAACAAGCAACAGGGACAGCAGAAGAAAGTGAATGCTGCTACAACAGGTTCGTCTTAAGCCTCTTGTGACGTCTCCTGGATGTGTGTTGAGTCCAAGCCTAACTCATCGCGCCAACAGAGGTTGCACAGCTCGACTGGCACACGCTCTCTCCCGAAGAGATCCTGCGTCGACTCTCTTCCTCTCGCACCGAAGGTCTCTCCCCCGATCAAGTCGCTCGCCGCGTGGCACACTATGGCAAGAATGCCCCCTCCGATCCTCCTACACATCATACGCGCAAGTTCCTTGGCTACTTCTTCAAAGGCTTCGGTCCCATTCTCCTCATTGCTGCCATCCTTGTGTTTATCGCCTGGCGGCCCCTGGGCAAGCCCCCGGCGCCGGCTAACCTGGCCCTCGCCATCGTCCTGCTCGCTGTCTTCTTTATCCAGGCCGCCTTCAACATGTGGCAGGATTGGTCTTCGTCCCGTGTCATGGCCTCCATCAAGACGATGCTACCTGACCACTGTCTTGTCACGCGTGATGGCGCCCAGTTGACACTGCTGGCCGAAGAGATCGTGCCTGGCGACATCCTGACCATCAAGATGGGCAACAAACTGCCTGCTGATGTTCGCTTCATCGGTGCTTCGTCTGATGCTCGCTTTGATCGTTCCATTCTGACTGGTAAGTCTTTCTACTCCCCCACTGACTCAAGGTTGCAGAGCGTGCTGACAGTGAGGCCTTAGGTGAATCGGTTCCTCTTGCTGCTACTGTCGACTCGACGAACGAAAATTACCTCGAGACACGCTGTATCGGTCTTCAAGGCACGCACTGCGTGTCTGGCACCTGTATCGGTGTTGTCGTGGCTACTGGTGACAAGACAATTTTTGGCCGCATCGCCAAGTTGACCAACGAGCCCAAGAAGGGGTTGACGACACTTGAGCGCGAGGTGCTTCACTTTGTGCTCATCATCTGCGCCGTCATGCTTTCGGTTATTGTTCTTGTGATAATCATCTGGTGCGTTTACTATGATTCTTGACCTTCACAGAGAGATAGCATGGAAAAGAATATCAGACTAACAGGTATCAGGGCCTCTTGGCTTCGACGAGACTATCCCGACTGGATCAACGTTCCCAACCTCATCATATCCTGCGTATCGGTGGCTGTGGCCTTTATTCCCGAGGGTCTTCCCGTGGCTGTCACAGCGAGCATGACCATCAGTGCCAACATGATGCGCAAGAACAAGATCCTCTGCAAGTCTCTCAAGACGGTTGAGTCCCTTGGCTCCGTGTCTGTCATTTGTTCCGACAAGACGGGCACGCTGACGCAGAACAAGATGACCGTCATCGACTGCGCCCTCGGCAACGAACGCATGTCGGTGAAGCAGGCCCACGATGCCCTTGTCCTCAACCAGGCACAGAATCCATCGGGAACCCACAACGCCCTTGACCAGCTTCGTTCCCTCGCCGGCCTGTGTAACGCTGCCGAGTTTGACGCCGCAACCCGTCGCTTGCCGGTCGAGCAGCGCACCATCTACGGTGATGCCACGGATCAAGCCATCCTCCGCTTCTCTGAGCAGCTAGGTTCTGTCGCCGAACTCCGTCGATGCTGGCAAACAAAGTACGAGCTTGCGTTCAACAGCAAGAACAAGTACATGATCAGGGCACTCGGCCTCGTGCATCCTGATGGAAAGTCAATGTCCCTACCTTCGGACACGGCTGCCGTGTTTGAGCCTGCCGATATCCTGTTGACCATCAAGGGTGCCCCCGAGATTCTCCTGCAGCGCGCCACGCACTATGTCAGCCCGACAGGATGCGTTCGCGACCTTGACCAGGCTGCGAGGGCTAGCCTCGAGACGACCAAAGATCAATGGTCGGCCCAGGGTCGCCGTGTCATCCTTCTGGCGCGCAAGGTTGTTTCTCGCTCGACTCTCGGTTCTGAAATGTCCCCTTCCTTCGAGGCGGGCATCAACGAACAGGCCAAGTCCGGCCTGACCGTTGTCGGCCTCGTCGGCATCGTTGACCCCCCTCGCGTTGAGATTCCTGACGTCGTCGAGACTCTGCGCGGCGCTGGTGTCCGCATCTTCATGGTGACGGGCGACTTTGCCCTGACGGGCCAGGCCATTGCCACCGAGTGCGGCATCATCACGTATCCTCCCTCGCAAATCGACAGCGTATCGGCCCTCGAGCGTGTGACGACCGTGGACCCCTCGCTCAAGGGAGCGTTTGTCGGCAGCGGTGGCGATGAGCCCAACATCCCGCGCAACGCCATTGTACTGTCTGGACCTGACCTGATCACGCTCAACGACGCACAGTGGGATCAGCTGACGAGCTACACGGAGATTGTCTTTGCTCGTACGACGCCCGAGCACAAGCTGCGTATCGTGCGCGAGTTCCAGGCGCGCAAGCAGACGGTGGCCATGACGGGTGACGGCGTCAATGATGCTCCCTCTCTGCGGGCCGCCGACGTAGGAGTGGCCATGGGCTCGGGCAGCGACGTCGCCATCGAGGCGGCCGATATGGTGCTCCTCGACGACACGTTCGCAAGCATTGTCGAGGCGCTGCGCTACGGTCGCATGATGTTTGACAACCTCAAGAAGACGGTGGCCTATCTGCTCCCTGCTGGTAGCTTCAGCGAGTTTTGGCCCGTCATGGCCAACGTGCTCTTCGGCCTCCCGCAGATCCTCAGCAGCTTCCTCATGATCATCATCTGTCTGTTCACCGACGCCGCCGCCGCCATCGCGCTCGCCTACGAGGCGCCCGAGGCCGACGTGCTCGTGCGCAAGCCTCGCGTTCCCGGCAAGGACCGTCTCGTCGACTGGAAGCTCATCGCGCAGGCCTACGGCGTCGTCGGCATGCTCGAGACGCTGGCGTCGTTCGCCATGGCCTTCTGGTACCTCGAGCGCAACGGCATCCACTTCTCGGACCTCTGGTTCTCTTTTGGCGTGCTGCCCGACACGATTGACAAGGACTTTTACGCGCAGAAGCTCAACGTCGCGAGCTCCATCTACTTTGTCAACCTCGTCGTCATGCAGTGGTTCAACCTGCTCGCTGTCCGCACCCGTCGCCTGTCGCTCTTCCAGCACCCGCCCTTCTTCAACGCGAGCACCCGCAACATCTACCTGCTGCCGGCCGTGCTCTTCGCTCTCGGCATGGCCCTCTTCTGGCTGTATGTGCCCGAGTTCCAGCGCGTCGTTGGTACGGCTGTTGTGCCTGTCGAGTACTGGTTCCTGCCCATGAGCTTCGGACTGTTCGTGCTCGGCGTTGACGAGGCGCGCAAGTACGCTGTGCGCACGTGGCCCAAGGGTTTCTTCGCCCGGACGGCGTGGTAACGGGGATGGGATGGATCGGGGGTTTAGGCATTCCTGTTGATGATACCCGGTTTGATCGCTCGGCGGAGGAGACAGAGGCGGCACTGGTGTTTGTAGTTTGCGATGGTCAAGAACATTGAAACTGATGAAGGTTTTTTTTCCTCTTCCTTTTTGAATAGCTCGTGCTCGACAGCCTTTTCGAAGATCAGATTATTCAACGATCTGACTTAACAACCAATGCGTGACAAGGCAGTCTTGGTGTGTATGGAACGTAAAGTGCACTATAGGCTGGCTCTTAGCGGTGCTGTGCCGAGTTCAATTCACAATTGAAGGACAGCGATTATAGAACTTGAAACTGCGTTTGGTGTGCGTTCAGGCTTCAGATTACACAAATGGGATTGAAGACAGAAACCAGCTTGAACGGTGTAATTAAGATGCTCTTGAGCGGCCATCAGCATTGAGTCGGCCCATCTAATCGCTTTCATGCCGAGTTCCTCCAGACCCAGGCCCCTTGCCGCGATCCAGTACGTCGACGCCAAACCCGATGCCCCTAAACTCAAGCAAGCCGAGCACAGACATGCGCACCCATGGACAAACCGCCGTCCTAGACACCGAGTTGTCCCGGCTCAGCTCCCACGGCACTACTGCAGCCACATCTCACTCGCAGCCTGCCCTTGTCTCAACCCCCCGCTTCGACGCACCCCCTCTCTGCTCTCTGGGGGTTTCTGCCTAGATTCTAACTGCGACGGGTTGAAGGTTATTCGCAACTACTAACATGCCTGCTTGCTATTCACACCGCCAAGGCGCGGGGTCCTCGATAACGATCACTTTGTGGATGTTTAGGGCTTGTCTTACTGTCCTGCCTAGCCTATCATGCACCCAGAGGGAGGTGCCTCATGATGGCCGTCCCGATATCCGTGACGCCGATGGGCCTTTGGTGCACTCGGCGACGGCGTAACCCGGACTTTTCATCTCACGTGTTTCCGCGTCAAAGGGCGTCACTGCATTTCACTGCACCTCTATCCATTCAGCTGCGGGTAGATGCTCGTCTATAAGAGTGCGCGATCTCGCGCCGTTTGACGCCCATCGATCTCGCTATCTGCCTCCCCCCATACACTTCGTCTCCCCCGCAGACTTGACTATCCCATCGCGTGGTTCCTCCCGCTATCGAACCGCCCTGCCTCGTATACACAGGATTCTCCAACGTCGCCATCAGCACCGCCCAATATGCCCATCGCCCACATCGGCCTCACAATCCCCCTGGCGCTCCGCGACGAGACGCTCGCCTTCTACGTCGCAGCCCTCGCGCCTCTCGGCTACAAGGTCCTCATGCAGCCAACCCCCAACGCCATCGGCCTCGGCCTCGAGATGCCCATCTCCGACTTCTGGATCACGGCCATTGACATTCCCTCCGTCAACGCCCTCAGCCACGTCGCCTTCACCGCAGACAGTGAGTTCTCCCTTTCCTGAGTTCTCCCGCTTCCTCGTGGTTCCCGCATGCCTCTCGTCTCGCGCTTCCCGAACGAGCAGCAGAAGCGGAGCCGAACCCCTCACCCGCCCACCCGGACTGACGCTCTCCTCCACCAGCCCGCGACCAGGTCGACGCCTTCTACAAGGCAGGCCTCGCCTCGGCCGGCGCAAAGGACAATGGCGCCCCCGGCGTGCGCGAGATGTACCACCCAAACTACTACGCCGCCTTCCTCATCGACCCCGTCGGCAACAACATTGAGCTCGTCTGCCACGCGCCGCCGCCGAGCTGAGCGAGGCTGAGCTCTAGCGTTGATTCTGTCTGCGGCCGAGTGATCACGGTGGTGGGGAGAAAGGGGTAGATAGGCCTGCTGTTGAGGAGTCTGCGGTCAAGTGGTGTGGTGAACGGCGTTTTGAGCTGGGTGTTTGACTGGTTGTTTCTTGATGCAGGCACTTGCCTCGGACGAGGTAAAGAAAATAGGCCAGAATGGCGAATTATATTCTTGAGCTGCATTATGGGCAGTTGCAACATGTCGAAAAGCTGTGCTATTGAGTCAAATGTCGTCATGTTCCGGCGGTCCGAGATCCGCCAACATAAAGTACTGGCTGTCACATAAAAGAACCAAGCACGGAGTAAAGCAAGACACATCAACACTCCCACATGCTGCAAACCGTCAACGCCTGTCAATTCATGCAGGCCCGTTCTACATAAACGGGATGCAACGCCAGCGAGCCGACGACGCACATCCCATGCAGCAACCAAACAGAAGCAGAGAACCACGCCCCAACGCCTCGTCATCCCCGCCACGTCTAGTACGAGAAGCCCAACGCTGAGTCCTCCAGCTCCGCCAGCTCGTCATCCGTCATGCGAGGGCAAGCAACCCCAGCTCGATCCGCCAAAGGCCGCCATGTACGAAAATCCAATCAACTCAGTCACGAACAGCCCCCGGCACCAGCCCGCCCGCGCCATGACCTTGGGCCGTGACCTCGCCAACGTCGTCATTCTCCGTGTAGAGAGTTCTCCTCCAAGTATGTGTATATCAGGGTATCAATCTCGTGGTGTTGTAAACAAAAGCAAGCTGGTCGTTCTAGGCGTCATCCGCGGCCGCTGTTGCGGGTCGCGACTGCTGTGGCACCACCACCTCGCGAGCGTAAAACTCGACAAGCATGGTGGCGTAGGCCTCGAGGTCCTCGACGGGGACCGCAAGTCGGAAGTCGTTTAAAAGAAGAAATTGAAGTTCGAGGTGGTTAAGCTCGGCGAGAGGCAATCCACCAACCTGTGTTGACGTTAGAATTTCGTTTGGGCCACAGTGTCAACGTTAAGTACGAACCTTGGCGTATCTCGAGTTTGTGTAGAACACATCCGAGAAGAACTTGCTTGCGCAAGTCACCCCAGCAATGATCAGCCTGTGAATGTTGAAGCTGTCAACCACAAAATAAGTGGCAGGTCCGATGTTCGGTCCGGGATCCGCGCCCGTGATGATCGGTCCCTTTTCACTGTCCCGCCGCTTCGCACTCGAAGGGGTCTCGTCGTCCTCGTCATCGTCGTCTGCGAGATCCGAGTCTGTTTCGGCGCTCTCGTCGCTCTCTGCATCATCCTCCATGTCTACGTCGATCGACTTGGACGCTTCGGCGGGCGCAGGCTCAGGGTTGGCCTGTCGCTGCTCCTCATTCTTGACCACCATCTCGTTCACCCTCTCCGTCATACGGTCAAAGTAGACAAGGAGGCTGAGAAAGACCTCGTACGTTGTCGGACAGTACTTGTGAATGCGAGACAGATAGCTCAGAATTGTAATGGCGGGGACGTTTTTGCCGTGAAAGGCAAGCACCGAGGTGCTGAGCGGGCTCATCTGGGTTCCACTGCCAGCCTCACCGTTCTGGTTGGCCTGCTGCTGGTGCGCGGCATTGCGCTGCAGGGCGTCGTGCTGCAGGTCGTTGGTGGTTGTGATTTTCGTGAGCAGCGCCGCCACCATCTCGATAATGTCGCCGATGGGCATGCCGCTGATCTCGTACTTGACCTGCTGGGCTGGAGCGTCGTTCAAGATGCCGCTGCCGTTGATCATGTCGGCTCGCGCCAGACTCTGAATATGGGCAAGGTCTCGGACCTGGATCGTCTGGCCTGATGGCGGTTCAAGCGGGGACGTCGCATCAGCGAGGTAGCTGTCGTTCAGAGACGAAGTGGTGAGGGTTGGTTGAACGTCCGAAGCGGGCGAGGGCTGTTGCTGGTGGGGAGCCATGGTGGTGGAGGACCCTACGACGTGGGTGGAGCCAGACTGTGTGGCGCTTTGAGCCTGTGATGCGATGCCGCGGTCGTTCGCATGCTGAGCTCCAGCGTTGGCGATGGTGTGGCTGGGAGAGGAGGACGATGGAGGGGTCGGAAATCGTGAGGCGCTGTCCGTGGTGGCGGTTCGCTTCTCTGAGGGGTCGGTGGGTTTCCTGTCTTGCACGATCTGGCGCGAGACGGAAGCGGTGCTGGCGGCAGGCTGGTATCGCGGGCTGGCGGACGGGCGGCGGGCGGAAGGTGAGTCTCGAGAATGGCTGGCTGATCTGTATCGCGAATCGTGCGAGTGCTGGCGGGACAGGCCTGACGAGGCTATCATGGTGTGAAAGTGGGTAGGGTGGTCGGAAATGTAGTCGCCGATTACAGCTGCCATAGCATGGTATTAATGCGAAGGGAAGAGGCGCAAGGCGAGGCGTGTCGAATTAAAGATTAGGTGGGCAGGTTGACTGTGGTGTTGAGAGGCGGCCGCTGGGAAGGAGGAGAGAAGCAGGTTAGCGTATGGCGTTTCGGCCCAAGGCGCAAGAGAAGCGAGTGCAGATGCAGATGCGCGAAATTGCAGGAGCGGCGGTGACGGCGCTGCGGCGCTCCGAGGGGCAGGGAACGAGCCGGGCGACAGAACAAGGAGGGGCGAGCGGGTTGGGCAGAAGTGGGCACGGGGATAGCAATCAGTAAGGCCATGCGAAGGAGGCCTAGAGAGATGGGCGGGCATGCACGGTGATCGGTAAGACGGGAAAAGATGCGCAAGAACTGGCAAGGCAAGGCAAGGCAAGGCAAGGCCGCCGGAACCAGCCTACCATTCGCATCGTAGGCCTCGTCTCGTGGCCTTGCCGTGAGCGAGATGGCCCAACGACGGCAGTGCAGATTGATCCGCATCGTTGGCAATGGCGGCTTGTTGAGTGGTCGGGACCAGTGGCAAGGATTACAGAGCAACTCGACTAGGCAGAAGTGCAAGCAGGCAGGAGGGGGGCAAGAATTTGGCACGATACCCAGAGGCCGGTCCGTTGCACAGACTCATCGACTTGCCCACGTCCCATGTGCACTGACTATCGTGATGCACAACGACCGAGGCGCGGCTGCGTGCGTGCAACAGCGTACAAGACTCGGCAACGGATGAAGTGACGACAGCGAGGGTAGTGGCGGCGACCGTTCGGCAATAGCATCGTATAGCCAAGGCCGAGACGAGAACAAACAACGGCTTGGGGGAGGGGAGGGGGCAGCAGAGCGACACGGCACACAAGCAAGACAAGGTGGTTGGAGCCGATAAATGGGAGAGAAACAGCAGATGGACTGAAAGAAAGCATCGCTTACCTGGGACAAAACAGACGTGCAGTATCAACGAGAGCGCGAACGAAGCAAACGACGCGAGAGAGGGTGACGATGTGTCGTCGTTTGGTCCTTTGGTGGCCGAACCGTCGCGGAAGGGCTAGAGAAAGGGATATGATGTCGGTGGTGGACAGCGGCCGAAGAATCTGTTCTAGTCGTTCGGGGTGACGAGACTAGCAGACACGACAGGGTCGAATGGGGGGAGGATGGTGTTTTGCGAGGAATGCGAATTCGATTTCGAATTTGCTACTGGAGCCGGCTCTCGAACCAGGGGACCCAGGGGCGACGAGGGGGAACCAAGAGATCTGGAGGCGCCGGGGGTGTCTTTGGTGTGAAAATGGGCACAAAGGATGACGGCCGAACGCGGGACGTGTCGGAGGGAGGGGGGTAATAGGTGTGGCGACGTCAAGTTGAAATGACTCGAGACAAAACCAGTGCTCGAAGGGTGTGCGTTACGCATATGCTGTTTTGGTGTGCGTCGATGGTACGTGTCTGGGCAATGCGCTGCGATGATGCGACCCGGTCGGAGACAAAAGGGGGGGGGGAGGGGGAGGTAGGCGCGAGGCAAATGTATGTTCGGCACTCGGTCGGAGCACGGCTGCTGGATGACGATGAGCAGAGAGGCGAGTGACGAAACGCACGCAACACGGCAAAAAGGCGACAGCACTGACGATGGCGATGGTGACGGCGATGGTGATGATGTAGAGGGGGTAGTATATGTTGGAGGAGGGAGGGAAGCAGAGGCGCGATTTCCCAGATAGAGGAGGGAAGGGGGGGGACTGACTGTAGGTAACAGTTTCCCATCCCATCTGTCCTGGCCCTCCCTGTCTTGCCTCTCGGTGTCCCTTCCATCCAGTCTAGATACCGTGCCTGCCTTGCGTTACCTTGCCTCAACGGGATGGCAGGCGCGACCAGGTAGTCCGAGTCTAGTCCGGCGCCCTCTACCGGCAAGATTGGCGGTCGAGGTGGATGCTTGCGGTGGAGCCAGCTACCGACACAACACAGGTCGCTGGGTACTTACCTAGGTAGGTACCAGCACGTCCCCTGGAGCTTCAGGCGCTCGACGGGACCACAGAAGGCGCCATGGACGATGGTGGCAGCGGCTCATAGGGGACCACGGCCGCTAAAGAGGCACCCAAGCCCCTCCCCCTTTCACCTTTCACCTTTCACAGCACGCGCTACCGACGTACCACCATACTTTTTAGGTGCCGACCTTCCCTGCCCGGGTAGGGAGGTAGGCAACCCTGCCTGTTCCCGGAGTTCGCCAGCAAGGGGTCGCTCGCATGGACCACGAAGGAAAGGTCCAGGCTTGGGTCCTGTGGAGTCGATGACACAACGAGGTGCTTATGGCCCTGCGGATTGGACCAGGGCGACACGCGGCGGGCCCAACCGAACACAGCCCCCCCCACCTCCTATCGCCTGCAGCGTCTGCTGCGACATATGGATGGCTAGCTGCACCGACCCCAACAGCTGAGTGCTCCGTAGTTTGATGGAGACAACGAGCTCATCGAGCCAGGACAGCCTGCGTCGTGGACCCAGACGTCACTGATGTTCCGATCATCATACTTCATCTTGGTATCAGAACCAGTCGGCCAGATCGGAGACTAAAATAGACCTCCTTGGACAACGTGGGAGACAGAAAAAGGAGGGGAGAAGGAGAGGGAGCACTGGATACTTGATCTCGACGACAGGGCCAACATGGGCCAACCCCTCGTCCTGACCTCCTGATAAGCCCTCGAATGGCGCGATATCTGGAGATAAGGCATCTTGAATTTGGTAACCGCTCGCTTTCTGGGCTCACTACAGGTCAAGGCTTGCCAGGATCAGACCCAGAAAACGACGTGCCATCTATCTCCGTGGTCTTTCGAGATTCGTACACCGAGTATCACAGTGCCAGCAAATGGTTCCTGTCATGACCAGACCCCTCGTGGATCTGCTGGGCCGACTACTGTATACCAGCCTTTCTCTGGTAGGCAGCCTCGGCTGTTGTGATGTCGACGAGGCGTGCTAGGTTGGCACAAGGCAATGCCTGTGACAGCCGAGTGACAACCTCTGGCTACCTTGACCTAGGTAGCCGGAAGGTAACTCGGGCTGCCGGCCTACTTTGGGCTGGGCTCACAACTAGCCGAGCTCCCAACATGGCCCCATCATTTCCTTCGATCAGCTCAATACGAGCCTTCTCTGTAGAGAGCCTTCTCTGTAGAGGACGGATGAGACTGCATCTTCATCGCGTGCCCTGCTCTGCTGCGATACCCAGTCCTCTGTCGCCTCCCGTTCCCAGCCTGTCACAGCAAGCCAGCAAGCAAGCCAGGGCTGCCGGGGGCCAGCAACACCCGACACTCAAGCTTTCCGGCCGGCGCCCAGTGCCAGTGCCCAGCGCCCAGCGCCCAGCGCCCAGCACCTAGCGCCCCAGCACCACCCCTGCCAGAAGCTGCTTGCACCCCTGGACCCCCTGTCGTGTTGCTGTCGACCTTCGACCCCGTCCGCCTCGGCACCCACCCGCCCGCTCTACCCACCTGCCTCTCCGCCCGCACCTCCGCCAATCTCGGGCCAGCACGCCGGCACGGGGTGGTCCTCATTGCCTCTCCAGGAGCCTGACTATCTTCACCGCACCCCCATGCTCAAGCTGCCAGCTGGCGCACTCCATGCCGTCAAACCTCACGCCATCCCTGTTCTTCGTCTTCTTTCTCTTCTTCGGGGGCATCAGCCTTACACAGGGCCCTGAAACGTCGGGGTATTCCTCATGTACCCTCTTCATGTACCCTCTTCGAAGAGGAACCCGGGACGACTGAGCCTAGTCCGGGGAGGTGTCATCGGTCTCGTTGCAAGGAGGAACGCTATTATCCCCGACGAGACAGAACATACAAGACATGAGACCAGGACGCCAAAGCGGGACAAATGCAAAGGGCACGTGTCCACACTGCTCTGCCGGAGCAAGACAGCATAAGGAGCAGCCCCGTCGCCGGTGACGTGTTGAGCCCCTTTGGTCCGTCAATCAATCCTCCACGTTCGTCGAGGATCCGACACCCGAAACCCCCCCCCCCCCCGGCCCCTTTGTAGAGAGAGAAAAATGGAAAAACGGTTCTTCTAATCCCCTTACTGTCTCACTCTAGGCTGGTGTGCGCCTCGACTTGGCGTCACTGTCCAGGACATGGAGCAGGCGCCTCGTCCACTGCTCTATGAAGTGCTCTACTATCCGCTTCCTCATGGACATGCAGCGCCCGCTGGCAATCACCCACCGCCTCTTCCCGGCGACGTTAATATACCCACGTTTGACCGCCGGGGCGGGGCAAGGTTGTCTCCTGCCTGGTTGACGCCAATTTATCCAATCGAGGTGAGTGCGCCGCTCACATGCACGCAACGCCCTCCTCATACGTAGGTATCTCTGTCCTGCACGTCCCCTCTCCCCACTCCTCATTTGACGGTGCGAGTTTATCGAGACTGACCTCACCGCCTTTGACGTTTCCGCCACACGCAGGCTGCCGCCACCCTCCCCTTTCGCGCTCTAGGCAAAACGGGAAGAGCGAGACAACTGCGACGTTGTGATTCGACCCTGCATTGTGCATTCGTATCAACACCCACCTCCCGCTGGTTGTGGCATGGCGTGACCCCCCTCCTCTGCTCTTAAATCCACGGACAGGCCCGCCTCACCCGTCAGCCCCGGGCGAACAGGATGCCGGGTCTCAGGGGGAGCCAGCATCGCAGTCGCACTACGGACATGATCGGATCGACAGGTCGGGCACCATGGCTACGACACACGAAAATCACTCTCCACACGGTCCATGAGACGACAAAAAAAAAGTTGTCATCATGAGACTTTTTGGTCGGCTCTCATTCCCTTCATCGTCATCTAAGGTTATGTATTATACAATGCCCCTGCTGTGATGTGCATGCTTCGTGTGAGCGGTGCATCATGGCGCGCGCCAGCACTTATCCGAGGCACTAAACAACATCATCGTCCTCGGCAGCTCCTCGCATCAGGCCGCCCTGGACCAAATTCTCCCTACTCGTGACGCACGGCGTAGTCCGTGTCTGGGAGGTAGAGGTGCCTGTCGGCGCCACTAGCCGTCAGCACCACCATACGAATGACACCGCCAGAGCTGCCATCCCACTTGATCGCCTCGCGCAGCGCGCCCTTGACGAACGCGACGGCCTCTTTCTCCTCCATGCTCTCCTGCCAGTTGGCGTCGCAGTAGCCGTAGATGTATGTCGAGCCTGAGCCGCCGATGGCGTAGGACTGCTTGTGAAGCGATCCGCCGAGGGGGATCGAGTAGACCTGACCGCCGTGACGCTCGTCCCAGCCCGCAATGATGAGGCCCGCCCTATCGTCGACCGTGTTAGCCATGTCTTCTGCGGCCACTTTGCAAACCATGTGCGGTGCCCCCCGCCCCCCTCACGATGGACAACTCACGATAGGCGGTCCTTGTTGGAATAGCAAATCTCCTGGAAAATGGACGCCGCCGTCTGCGTCATGGGCGGCTTGCCGTTGCGCATGGCGTACATGCCGAGCTGGTACTGCACGATATCCGCGACGGCCTGCGTGTCGGCCGCCGAGCCAGAGCGGCAGCACCATATTGTGTCGTGGACTCGCGTCAGCTTGTCGGTTACTCGGTTGGCGATGTATGAGCCCGTGGTTGTTCGTGAGTCGGCGCCTGCATGTGGAGGGGTACTGTCAGCTCCGAAGTCCCTTGTAGTCCCGCACACGTATATAGCTGTCGCAGCCTTTCCGCGAGAGGGTTTTGCATACCGAGAATGACGCCGTCCTTGAATGTGACTGCCATGCTGCGAGGAAATGTCAGAATTGTTGAGCGCGGGTCGAGGACGTGGAGGATCGTACATGGAGGTACCCAGGCTGTGGAGAGGTTAGCAAAGAATCTACAATTAGAGGAACCTTAGCAGACTCACTTGACCTCGCCCTTCTTCAGTCTATCCATGTCGACGTGGATGCCATCTGTAATCCTCACGTATCAGCTTCCATGTTCGGCGCCTTGCGTCGAGATGGGAGCTCCAAACGGACGGACCTTCATTGAGCGAGCCAGTAGTGGTGAAATCCATTGTGGGCGAGCTTCGGATTCTCGGAATGTATGTATGTAATGCGTGTCTGGTGCAGGTTGAGTCGCTTTGAATGAATCGTGGGTGATGGGCTGAAGGGTCGTCGTTGAATGAACCGGGGCAGGAAGGCTGGAGCTCGATGATGGAAGCTCAGGCAGCTCCGACGCGTTGGCCTTGCGTCGCAGGGCGGCATTGAAGGTCACGTGGAGCTGTCCCCAGCTGCCGCCAGCTGCCCCACCTGAGCCCCCCGATGTCCCGAGAAAGCCACATCTTGACTTCCGTACTAAAGCTCGAGACATGCCCGCGGGATGATCGCTTTCGAGCTGATCTTTCGTTTAGGTTACACATGGGTGAGTGAGGGTTCTGACTGGTTTCCTTGCTCTTGGTCAATGCACATCTACGAGACCCTCCGATGTCACAGCCTTGTTATCGCCGAGGAGCTCGCTGTCATGTCAAGAACACCATCAGAAAGAACACAAATGTATATATTTGTGCATTTGTCTCTTTGGAATCGTCACCCAATGTTCTTATGTATCCTCGCTCTAAATAACCATGACTCACAATGCTTTGCTATCGTCCCCTCGCAATTCGACCCCTTCTCCCCCCTCCTTTTTCTTTTTGTCCTCATCGCCGCATCCGCAGTCGTAAAAGTCGCCAATGTTCGCGCAATCGAACAGGTCCTTCTCCAGCCTTGTGTTGACCTCGTTGTGGACGAAGCATAGCCAGCCCGCGGCTGCTGTGCGGCTGCTGACCTGAGGCGGGTACTTGGCGATGAGCTTCTGGAAGTGCGACGCGCAATCGCCGCAGGGGTAGAGGCGCGAGAACAGTGTGATGAACGTCTTGAGGGTGAGACTTTCTTCGGGGCTCGGCTTGTCGGGGAAGCGGCCCATCATGGTGTGGAGGAACTTCCAAGAGGCGCGACCGAGCTCGGCCCTGTGAACGGTAGGTGTCAGTCTTGCACTTTGCTAACAGGATGCGAGGGGGGTGCTGATCACAGCATCTTGTGGGAGGAGGCTGCAATCCGCGGGGTAACGTACTTGGCCGTCGCATTCTCGAGCTTGGGCGCGATAGAACCGCCAACAAGAATATTGCTGTCAATGGCGCCAATGTCGAATGCCGCTGCGGGAGTCGAGTCTTTGGCCAGCGGCGCCGGGGCCGATTGGGAGCTGGTGCCGTCGCTGATCCCAGATGAGAACAGGTACGAGACGCTGAAGAAGGCCACGATGGCCAGGACGACAATCGCCGAGAGATGCTGTCTGCGCGCCATGGTGATAATGATGTTGCGTGCGGATACCTTGGTGTTGCGGGAGACCAGGGAGTGTAGAGAGGGCACACGAGGTCCCGAAGCAAGTTGACCAAAATACAGACAAGATGATCGCTCCAAGATACAAAGAGATCGGCAGATACGACCACCATGTGCCATTCACGACCCCTTCCCGTTAATCGAAGTGAAAGGGGCGCTGGCGGAGGCTCCTGTCGGCCCACGGTGGGCCAATAGTGGGCTGGTCCCTGAGTGGGGTTAGGGGAAGAGCAAGTTGCTTCTCCGCCAATGGGCTGGATAGAATAGCGCCACCATCTCCGCGGGAAAATGGGAGATAAGATAAGAGCTTGAAGCATAGCATCACCAGTTTGGCGAAGCCATCATGAGAGTCTGGTTATACCTGTTCCTCTTCTTGCTCTTCTCCTTAGTTCATGGCGCGAACTTTCAAACTTCATGTCTCCTACCATGCTATTTAGTCTCTGCAACGAGTCTCCTCCTCGCTTTTGAATGGCACTCATATCTTTCTACGTCTGATACAGCATTTAGCCGTCTCCAGGATGATGCCCTGCATCATGGCCAAATCAATGTCCGACGCCGTATCGTGCTGTCCCAGGCTGTCCCAAATGAAGGCACTTGTCCACTCGTAACATTTATCGAGTCTCTCGCGGATGCTCTGCTTCGCTTCTCGGTAGGCTGCATTCATGGCACATGCCTGCTTCATAGCCGACTTCTGTGCCTCTTTCCACCATCGGTTCTTCCGGTCGGCTGCCTGCTTCGTTGATGATCCTCCAGCGCCACGAACCTCGTAAACGCGATGCTCTTGATGACTTGACGTAGAGCGACTCGGATCCGGGCGATAGTCGGACAGGGAAAGGGTCTTGCTGCGATCGAAGCTGAAAGTCGTCTCAACATTGACCTCGGTCAGGTAATTTTCAGAGCTGCTGCTGCTTGCCATCAGCATCTTTCTCCATGTATGCAACTCAAAGCTTCATCTTACAGCGAGTCTCTGTTCCTTTTACCCGAAGACGGCTGCGCTGCCATTGCTTCTGGACCGAGGGCACTGCTGCACGGGGGATGCGGTGCAAGTTAGCAGATAAGGTCCTTCGAGCAAGAGATGTCTTGACAGTTGATCGTCAGGTATGGAGCTGGAAATCAACGGCGGGAGGTTGAAGGAAACCGGGGGATTCAGGTGCCGCAGCGTTCGCGGCTCCGCTCTTGGGCCTTCTTCTTGTTAGTTTTCTGCACTTGTGAACGAGAAGGGTTTTTGATTCAGTATGACATTTAGCAACCGCGCCTCCATTACCTTTTTCCATTTCTGGTACACATAAAGAGGTAACTACAAAGAGGAGCGGAGCATCGATAACGCAGCGCTCCTGAAGGATGATGGACCATTTCAGGCTTATGAACTCCATCGTTCCTCAGCTGTTCTAGATCCAGGTACACTCGCAATGCTACGGCTTTTTGGCGAATGGCTGACACTCGAAACAAATACCTAGAGAACTATTTGTACTTTCTTTTACTTAGGCGTCGTAAGTGGCCTTCATCTATGCTTTGCTAGTCAAGTCTGCATCGATATCCCCTGCGAAAAGTGCAAGACAACGACACCTCCTCGGGCAATGTTTACTTGCTTATATTAGCTAGCGCTGATGTTGAAATGCACGTTGAATGTCACTGCCGATGTAATGATGTACAGTCGGTATTTTGAACGCGCAGTCGGCCGCTCTCTCACGTCCAAGTAACCATGTTCGATGAGGCACGCTGTGAGATGACTCTGATCAACCTCGTACTTGATGTCGGCAGTCCCATTCACTGGCCAGGGCAGCTGCTTGATATGGTCGTGGTCCAGGCTCGCACGTTGCCGGGCACCACTTTGATAGTTGACATAGCTTCGGCCCGGCTGTTCAAGGTTCTACTGGGGCAACAGCTCATGGACTTTTTATTACACGATAAGCTATCTTGCTGAAACAGGCAGCCGTTTGGTCGCGTACTGAAGGGTTGTGTATAGTTTGTCCGCAGCACGAACCGTCTTCTGACGTTCAGTTCGGAGTGTCGGTTGGAACCTGGGGTTCTTCACACGATTGTCATCAGAGACGCCTTGCCACGAACTCAAAGCTCCATGGGGGTGTCTATAAGGAGTGCCTTCCATCTTAAGGTGCCTTGGGTCGGAAAAGTCGCTCCTGTTGCAGCGGGAATGACCTTGGCCAACAGTTGAACATACTTCCCAGTCGACGCTCGAGGTGCTACGAAGATCCTTTGCATCCTGTGGAGCTGGGTCATGTGGCGATCAGTCCACGACAATTTCCTCAATACTACGAGTCGTGAGTGATGATACCCTGCTTGCCGAGTAGCAAGTGCGCAACCTTGACATTAGCTTCGGGGAGTGAACATGGTCGCCGCCACTCCCACCAAACTTTCTGCCTGGACTTCACATCTTCCAGCTAGCCAGCTTCGGAGTGACTCACTCGCAATAGGCTCAATTTTACTTCTCACCGTTCGCGTGAACGTGACAACGGTTTCTGTTCCGTCGACGCCGTCAAAGTAGAAATTACCGTAATCCGGTGTGATCGGATGGCGTGGCCATCCTGGACAACCATCAGCGCGCAGATGCAATGCCGCGAGTTTCCCCAGTAATTGTCTCATACAAGTGTTCGTACAGCTCGGCTGGGCCTGCTGGATATAAGACCTGAAACGCTGAGAAGAGGCACTCTGAGGAAAGTTTACTTTGGAACTGGACAATGTTGGGTTCTCACTACGTGATGGCGGCTGCTTTCTGTTTAAATTCGAAACGAGAATGAGATATCAGGACATGGTACCCGAATCATCCGTTATTCGAGGCGTCTGCACCATTTTCGATAATGATCGGGGGTTCAGCCGTATATATTCCTTCGATAAAGAAATTAGTTCCACAAGTACATCTGGCCAGCGCACGTTAGGTATGGATCAATTCCGGCCCTAAAGGCATATATACCGATCAAGTCAGTGGCCGAACCGGCTAGCGCGTGGCTGGTAACAAGATTGGTAGTATTTACAAGACAGTCTCGGGGCCTCGAGTTTCAAACAGCCTGGTCTCAAATTAAAGACTTTATCAAAGTAGTTCTGCCTGCCATCCATGCTACGCCTTGCCCCTGTTTCTAAGGCCGAAAGTTTTGTACATGAAAGGGAACCCAAACTCATTATCGGCCTTTATGGCCTCGGCGTACCCGTTACTTTTGTTGTTAATGGGCCACCCGTTGTAGGGAAGTCTACGGGAAGCGTCGTCGCGTACAGATCAAACATCTTCGGTCCACCACAACGGTTGTCCGTCTTGGTTGTCACAGTGGTGGTGCCGCTCGTCGTGTAGGTCAGCACACTGCCGTAGCAGTAGTTTGTGCAGGCGCGGGTGCCGATCAGAGACGTGACTGCACTGCCCTTGAAGTCAAAAGTATTGCCAGCGTAGCACTCGTGATGGTACTCGATGAAGACGTAGGCCGGTGCGGCAGTGGGGGTTGGGGCGTTGGAGGCACGTTGGCGTGCGAAGTCGAAACAGAGTTCGGGCGTGACGCTGCGGTTGGACAGCAGGTGAGGCAGGGCATGGCCAGAATTTGTGTCCTGGAAGCAGCCAACGTAATAGTAGCCGTTGGTGGGGGTTGCCGTAGGGCCGGAAGACGAGCTTTCAATCGTGCTAGTGAAGAAGCTGGAGACTGAAGTCTCAGCGGAGACGCTGGGAACGCTGAGGAAGGACGAGGTAGGGACGTCGACAATAGTGCTCGATTCAGCAATGGTGCTAGATTCGGGAACGCTAGACTGAACAGTGCTTGATTCTTCAACCGAACTGACAACCTGGGAAGAGGCGGACGCTTCAGACGAAACGGGTTCGGAGCTAGCCGAAGGTTCGATACTTGAGATAGCCTCTACACTCGAGACGGCAGCGGAAGAGGTAGGCGCCTGGGAGGAGATGGACGCCGGAGAGGAAGCAGGAGCCTCGGAAGAGACTGCCGCCACAGAGGAGGCAGCAGGTTCCGAAGAAGAGGGCGTGTCAGATGAAATAGGGGCGATGGATGTCACTGACGGCTCTGCGGAAACGGGTGCCTCCGAGGAGACTGGCAGTTCTGATTGTGTGGGCTCAGCACTGGACACAGGAGCTTCGCTGGAAATGACACTGGAGGTCACAGTCGAGGCGACCTCGGTTGATGACGGGACGCTAGAAGGCTCAGAAGTCGCTGGAACGGTTGTCGGAGATTCGACGGTGGTGGATGACGAGCCGGAGCCGGGCTCAAGACGGTAGAGGTCCAAGCGGCTGCCGGCACCACAGTATTGCAGCTGGGAAGCGTTAGCAAGTTCACGATTTGCATGTCGGTTAGGAGGTCTTACGCTATTGCCCTTGCAGAGAGTGCTGCACTGTGTGACGGCGGCGGGGACGGACCCAGCGTTGATCGTGTTTCCGCAGTAGCACTCTCGCCCATACTCAACACCCATGTAAAGGAAGTTGTCAACCGCGCAGAATGCTGCGCAAGAGTCGACAGACAAGGTATCGGAGGCAAAACTCTTGCCTGAAAGGGCGCGGCCAGTTGTAGCCTCGGTCCGGCAACCTTCCCATTGGTAGTCGAGAACCTGCTGAACGTGCTCAGGGCCTGCTGGCGGCGTGTGGACCTCGACATTGCGGAAGACGGACAGCTTGCGCCAGCCACCGCAAAGACCGTTGGATGAACCGATGCAGGCACTGGAACAGTCAGATTCGGGGGCGCGAAGAGCAGCTGCGTCGAGAGTCCAGCCACAGAAGCACTCCCGGCCATACGTGAGACCGAAGTAGTTGTGTGGCTTTCCGTTGCCGCTGCAGAAAGCACCGCATTTCTCGAGAGTCATGTCGTCGGACGCTGTCTGGGATGCACCGAGCGTACGAACGTTATTTACCAGGTCGCTAAAGCAGCCCGCGTACTCCCACTCATTGTTCACGAGAGCGGGCTGGTTGGGGTTTAGAGGCGAGGCGCCGGTAGGGGTAGCGGCGGAGCTAGTGGTAGTGTCAGGTGCGGCAGACGAAATAGGCTCAGCCGAGGACTCGGGCTCATCCGAAGTGGTGGCGCTAGTCACAACGACAGAGGTCGTCACGACGGTAGTCGAGGTGACAGCCGTCGTGACAGCCGTCGTGACAGCCGTCGTGGTGGCGACGGTCGTCGTGGTAGTGCCAGGTGTAGTGCCCTGACCGATGGACTCGAGGAAAGCAGCAATATCAAAGGCAGTAACATCAGCGTACAGACTCATGTGGCCGCCATCACCACCGCAAGCCTGTGTCTCGTCTCCCATGCATCCAAACGTACATCGGTTCTCGGCAGGGTCGGTGTATGTCTGGGGATACCTAATGTTTTGGGGCGGTCCGCCGCACCAGCACTCGCGGCGGTACTGCATGCCGGAGAAGATGAAGCCGCGGTCGCGGCAGAGCTGTGTGCACTGCTGAATAGTGTTGGTCAATTGCTGCGCTCCGTTGTTGACCTGCGTCTGCAGGTTGCGGCCCATGCGAGTGTCAGCAAAGCAGCCGACGTATTGGTAACGAGCTTCGCCATTTCCCAGGACGGGGCCGAGTTGGCGGGGCACGATACGAGCCGTGAAGAGAATGTCCTTGAGACCTGCATCCTCGCCAGTGTTCGGGTCCAGTCCGTTCGTCGTCAGAGTCCATGTGCCCCGAATGTGCAGAGCAGGCGTATTAGGTTGGATGGGGCCAGCACGAACGCCTACTGTGCCAATGGCGCAGTCATCAGCCCTAATCTGAAGGCCCTCACCGAGCTCGTGATCGGGGTTCAGGGCGCGAAGCTGCTCGCTGTCGGGGGCCTTCGAGATGGTCACAGTCATGGGCGAGCCGCCACGGTTACAGACGCGAATCTGGGTCTCGGCGGAGCCGCCAGTGGTGACGTCGCCAAAAGGCACGGTATAGTGAGGCGACAGAGAGTTCCAACCACCTTGGCCGTCCGCCACTTCGAACGCTACCACTGGCGGGCTCGCGACGGTGGCCGTGAGCTCAAAGGTCAGCACACCGCCGTCAGACCAGACGGTGACAGTGGAGGTGTACG